TCCTTCTCCAACTTCAAAAACTCCTCATTTAACCCCAAAACAACGTTCCGATTCCCCTGTAAACACTCCACTGACGAACCAACCTCATAAAACCTCCCCGAAAAACCCATCTTTAAGGCAACCACAGCTAACAACACATCCCCACCTTTCTCGTCACAGTGCACTCCTGTTTTTTTCTTCACCAAAAATTCCCTGCCCATCTTCAGCAACTCATCAAACACACAACTTGTCACTTTCCCCACCAAAATCCTGTCTTTACTCTTCATCAAAACCACAAAAAAGGGCCCAAAGATCACATCAACCACCTCCTTGCTCACCGGAAACCTCACCTCCTTCAACTCCTCCAAGAATACCGATACAATATGATAATTCACTCCATTCCCCCGCAACTTATCGTCTGCCATAAACCCATAATTCTCCAGAACACTCATAAACTTCCCCAGCAATTCCAAATTCCATTGCTTAAGTTTCATCAATTCAAACAAAGTCCTCATAAACCTACGTATAAGCAAGTAAAATTTGTCCAACCTCAAACGATCAATCCCAGGCCACTCCCGCCGAAGAGTTAAAACAAATTTACTAAAATACTGAAACGAAACCGGAAATTCAAGGATCAAAAACAGGGATGTTAGTCTATTAACAAGAGCTAACTGATTCGGAGCTTTGTCGGTGTGCCAGAAACAGTAAAAAAGCCCTTTCCAAAGCTTCTTAATATCCTCTTCAGGGATTTCTTGCTTTTGGGAAGTCAACCACGGTTGAAGGAGTTTCAGGGATTGGGATCTGACGGTATTATTGCAAGAAGCTAAGTGTTTGATTAAGGAAGGGCCAGTGCAGGAGGCGAGAGTGGAGACTAAGGGTTTGGGCTCTCGGGGTCTCTTCTTCATTGATTAAAACTGTAATTTTGGTCAAGAGAAGGTGAATTTCACAAAGTGAGGTTAGGTTTTTGAGGGCTTTACTGTTTGGTATCGCAGTGGAAGATATGGAGAGAGGGGCTTGTTTGCAACATTGAAACCCTAGTGGGGG